ATCTTAATACAAGCCCAAAAATGATTTTTGTTTGGTTATTTAATGTTTTAAACTTAACTCTCTAGTAGCGAAGTAATTTAGCGACCATGCGCCATCTGTTGGAATTTTAAAAAACTAACTTTTATATAAAAAATATATATTAGGATTAAAAATCTCAATACAATCCTAAAAATTATGACGGATAATTTTCCTAGCTGCAATTTTTGATGCAAATTCCTTTGATAATTTTTCGAGACATAATATATTGAGATAGAGCTATCAACAATGGCTTGTCGGCCTTTGTTCTAAATCTCGCGAATCAGAGTTGCCAGCATAGGTAACATATCTGAAAGCCCGAGAATAAAGTACCAACCCATCATCGCTATCGACACTGCACGGCTATTAAAAAAGTCTCGGATTTTATATACAGAGCAGTGGAAGCAGAAAAGGAATAGTGGTATAGTACCACTATGATGAGATTGCTTTTCCACGATATCACGAGCTGTTGAAAAGCCATCGGTAATTCAAGTGGAATCCTGCACGTACAGGCGATAGAACGATAACTCGTCTCGGTAAAAACGTCTTTTGCTGGGGCTCTTCACTCTTTTACAACCAACTACCATCACTACTTCCCCGACCTCCACCGGCAAGCACTTCCACTCATACTTCTGCTTCTACATCATCATCATCATCGTCTTGCTGTAGTTTTGATATCGTGGCTGAACTCGTATAAGAGCATGCACAGAACCCTAGTCCCAACTCGGAGAGGTTCACAAGTAAAAGGTTAAAGAGACGTAGCAGGAGCAGTAGCAGTATGTAGTACCCAGGGGAACTTATAAAGCCTGTTCAACGAGTTACGCTTTCCGCTGCTTCTGAGTGTACTCAGTACCATCAACCTCCAGCAAAATAAAATGAAATAAAATAAAATACCGAGGAGGATAAAACTGCCAGCCATCGCTGGAGCCGAGAAGGAAAGTGCCTGCTACTCACTAAAATCCCCTTCTATTTCTTATATGGTAAAACGTTGGCTCACCTTATTCGGATACTAAGTAACAGGATTGGTTCTTCGTTCTTGCTTCTTGGGTTTTTGAGACCACCGAGCTGATTTTACCCTTTTCAACTATGCCGGCACCTTTATACCTCCGCCGCTCCTCTAAAATTGCATTTGCCAAAACCTATTTTGTTTTATATACTTTACTCTCCTTTCTTCAGATATTTATGGACAGAAATTTAGGTTAGAATTTTATATTTTTCTAAATTAAAAATTCGGAATCAATAATCAGGTCTCAATAAAATTTTGGCAATTTATTTATTTCACGATCATCTGAAAATAAACTTTTTTTTTAAATCAATTTCGCGGCGGGCTTATAACAATAATCAGCCATATATTCATAATAATAATTCTTTCTATTAAGCAAAAAATGGTTTTCGGTTCAATTTTTCATACCTTTGTCTTTAAAATTTGGTAATTGATAATTTTTTTCTCTGTAATTAATTTCATCAGATAGTTTTAAAATTCAGAAAGTACAAAAATAATAAATACACCAATCATTATACCCCTTCTAGCAAAATGAATATTAATAGAAATAGACAAGACCTTGTATCTAAAATCCATAACCCAGAGCCAAAATTACTGACAGATGTAAAATTCACAAGCATATTCTCCCAGCTTACTTACAGGCTCATCAACAAAGCACAAACAATGTGTTCTCATGTAAATCACCATCAACAACCCTACCACATATTTACGAGATTTAATATCCAGTGTTCAGCAGCATTATCAAGCTCTCGAGCTCTTCCTCAAGCATAATTTATACAAGCGTTTATCCGAAAGTGTTTTTACCCTTATTAGTAGCCGTGCATACCTCAGTAAACATCGTTACTGAAATTTCATGACCATTGGGCATGTAATTCTTTAAAGATCTCCTACCCCTGATTTACTATCTTGAAATTCACAGCTTTGTCTACCAGCTGGTATAATGGCCTAAAGTCTAAATTCTCAGACAAGATGAAAGACAGAGAGTTAAGACTGGAGTAGAACAGAGACCCCGGAACCGTAGAACTTTGTGGCTGTTTATTTCCTGAAGCGTGAAGCTACTGAAACAAGCTGGAATGGCGATGGTTGATGTTCTCTTGATATGTTGTTCTGGACTTGTGAGCTTGCTCTTGGACTCACGGCTTGCGTTGTATATCTATAGCGAGAGCAGAAGTACAAAGGTACTAACAACCTTATATCTCTAGAGCCAAGATGATGGTTGACTTGTGTATAAAATGTTGTGGAGAAATACAGAATCTCAGGCGTAACTTACTCGGCATTCGACATTAATCCTCTTTTACCTGTCTATTTCTCAAAGCCTGGTCTTGTATTGGATCAAGTGCTTTACTTATTGTTCCAGCTCTCGTATAAATTATGTTTTATTGCTTACTCGGCAAACACTCATCATAGAGAGCTTCGTGTTCTCAAATTTCAATCTTTTTTCATCCGATGTGTCTAGCTTTGTTCACACATTACATTCTAATAAAATTATCAAGAGTTTTTTTTGCAGAAAATAGTTTTAAAAAATTATTTTTATAATTAAAAAAACACAAAATTCTCTCCTGGTAATTTCAAAAATTTTTGCACGCCTCATAAGCGAAGCGGATAAGGTTGTGCTCTACACTTGCCTTTTATAGTAGATCCGGTAAAATTTGTACTAGTAGATTCAATTTTTAATTAACCCGTGAAAAATTCTCTGAGATGCGCGTTTATAATTTTTTGATTAAAAGTAGTTTTGAAATTTTCCAACAGGTGGCGCATGGTCACTGAACCGTTCCCTTATAACAGAATTAATTTTGAGGTATTAAGGTATAAAATGAAAATTATATTTTAGACTCCCTTAAGATAATTTAACATTCATTTTTAATTTAATAAATTACTAAACTAATTTTGCATGCCTCATAAGTGAAGCGGATGAAATTGTGCTCTACACTCGCCTTACAAAAATCAAGCGATTTCTTGAACTAAAATTGTCTCTATTTATTTTCTATCGCACTTGTAGAACAATATTTACATATAAATGTAATGGAAAAACACTAGTTTCAACACATGACATTTTTAAAAGACATTTTGCTTTTTAAATAAATAAAAAAAATGTTTAAAAAATTATTCCGTAGACGTCCGGCTGTCAAATGTATGTATGAAAACTGGCGTGATCACGATAACTACCTCAAAACTTAACTGATTAAGTCAATTAATTTTTATACGCTTCAGTATGATTTAAAACTAAGTACTTTCGAAGATCACGCTCTAATTCAATGTAGTTTATTTATAATTAGCAATAAACTAAAAATCCACTAATCGTTTGTATATCGATATCTATGTAAATAAGGTTCGTTTACAATTTCTTTTCTTTTTTGGGTGGACAATGTATTGGACAAGTATTTTTTGTATTTTATTTTAATCAATTTTATTATGAAAAATGAGATTATGAGGCGTGCAATTTTGGATTTTCAAAACTTTTTCTAAATTATTTATACCAACATAAAAATAAACTATTTACAGCGTGAAATAGAATTCCATGATGTTCTACCCTAGTTTTTACCCCAAGACTTTTATTAAAAATTTTCTAAATATTTCGTTGTAGTTAATGAATAAATAGCGTGAATTTCACCGCAATATCTTTTTTATTGAGAGAAGAAAAAACAAAATAAAGCTCGGGAAATTATACGTGGAATTTAGTTTATTCGGAAACGTCCGTAATAAATATATAAGAAGATCGAAATGTCCAGATCTCAATTTTAAAATTTAACCAGAGCGAAATTTATAGGAGGAAAAATATGTAGGAGATAGTAAATATCCGTAGATATTTTCACGCGATCTTATCAGTAAGCATCGGGTACGGGTATCGTTGCAGGTGTCGGTGTCGGGAGTTGCATAGTTGCATGCTGTTCTCGGTATCATCTGGAATCCTTCACACGGACATTCGGGTTCTCTTCCTTCCCCGTTTTCGCTTCTATTTCTTTTCGTCTGATTTCCCTCGTTCTTTATTCCCGGACAATATCTCGTGCTTCATTTTTATCTTTATTATTATCATTCTTATTATTGTTATTTCATCTCTACTTCACTATCCAGTGATACGGAAAAACTTATCTCCTTTATTATTTTAGTCATGAACAAAAAAAAAATAGTAAGCTACGAAACTGCGTCCTACAAATTGACAATATTCCGTTCTTTTGTTAACTCTCGCTGTAATAGCATTCGTTATCACCTTTTATCGATTGACTCCTTATCTATTCAAATCATTTTTATATTTTTCTTTCTTCTTCCTCTTTACTAACTCTATTATTAAAAACTATTGTAATAAATTCAATAAGTCGAAAAAATTTTAACTGAAATTACTGAATCAATAATCTTTTTTTTTTATACTAAAAAAAAACTACTTGCTCCAAAAGAAATATTTTTTATTCAAAAATAAAATTATTTTTAAGACTTATAGACAGAAAAATCATTGTTTAGGTAAATATTACAATGAAATATTTTAATTAATTAATTTTTTCAAGAAATAAATAATATTTGTCGTATATATTTTTGATAATTATTAAAAATATATCTTTTGATATCGAAAAAAAATTTTTTTCCCTTTAAGAATAATTTTCTTTATTTAAAAAAGAAAAATTTTTAATTGTTTAGATCAATTTAAATATTTTGAAGCAAGAGAAATTTAAAAGAGAATAATTTTTTTTTTTAGTAAAAAATTTAATAAACTCACTCCGTCTTAAAATTGTTTTTATTTTAAATTTCAGCATTAAAAAACAACTTATAAATCCCAAAAGTTTCTAACAAATTTTTGATGGACTTTTGATAAAACGGTAAATAATTAAAATTACTGACAATTCAATGGCTGTCACAGAGTAGATTATGATGGTAACAGACCCTGACAAAGGCGTAAAATTTAATAAACAACATTGAATTTGAACGGTAGCGGCATATATATATATATTCCCAGCTCCCGACTCCCTAATTCAATAACCGAAATTTCACTATGAATCGCGGATCCCGAGATTCAATTTTCCATAGACGTCATGTATTTAAATTTGTTCTGCTTTGCTTCAATGTAATTGCAACCCTAGTCCTAGTTTAGATGATACACATCTGGCTTTTATACTCGAAGATATTTAAATAATAATCGCACTCATAATTAGATGTTTAAGTGAAATATCTGGGTAAGTTGAGCTGTCTTTCTAACGTTCATAGGGAAATGTCTGGCAGCAACTACTGTCATTCCACTTCATTTTGGAGCTCGTTAACACCATTCCATTCACAATAACGGTGAGTTTTTATTATGACTATAATTATAATTACTATTTTTTAACGTGATTTTAATTTAAGGAAGCCAAAAAAAGCGATTTTTTAATTTTTTTTTGTTCAAGAAGCTTTTTTAATTAATAATTAATTTTTTTTTATAATTGATGCAAAAGAGACGATAAAACTCAAGCTTTTCAATTTTTTAAAAAATTAAATATTATTTTGCCTTGGCATTTAAATTAAATAAATAAAAATAAATAAATTTTGATAAAAAAAAAGTTCCAGAAATTTAAAGCCTTAAAAATTAATTTAAAAAAAATTTTTTTGTAATTTTTAAAACAAATCCCTTTTCTCATAGAAATTTTTTTAAGGATATATATATAGACTTGATATTATTTTATTCTCCGATCTTGAAAACTTAACTAAAAAATTCATTATATTGAAAATTAAATTGAATAAAAAATTTGAATCCTCAGAAAAAAATGATCAAAGCGATAAATTCTTTAACTTTGTGAGTAAAAGTAAAAGAGTTATTTTATTTATGGTATTTGAATAGAATTAACGTCAGCAAAAAGTAAATGTGTACCAAAGTAAAGATAGAAAGTGGGATGGAGTTAGTAATAGTGACAGAAAATGTCAATGCAAACTGATATCTTTACACTGGTGTCTTAAGTACCAGTAGATGTTTACTATCGAGGACACTTGGCTCCAGGATGTCTCAAGTGCTTTACACCTCCCTCTCCTCTCTCCTGCTCCTTCTCTTTCTTCTCGAGCTCGTTACTGTCAGTGCATTACGTCACTCTATTATTGAAAATTAAATTGATATTGTTAATTTGATGTTTAAATGCAAAAATGCGCCGTGTGTTGGTACGCTGATTAAATTGGTAAAATAACAAAATAGGGGATAAGGGCAATTAAGTGGCTCGGTGACGCAGATAAATACGATTATAATATTTGATTTATTATGTACAGTGTATGATAAAGCAATATAACATATACTTCTTATCTTGTTGGATTAAACAACTACAACCCGGCTCACAGCTACCATAATGACGTTAAATTCAGTCATTATATTATCAGGGGAATTTAATTAGCTTAAGTCTATTATCCGTGACATAACTAACTGTAACTGACTCCTCTAATTATATTAAGTTATATATTTTATGTGCATATTTAATACTAAATGCTACTGAAGCTTTTAATATATTTATAAGTATTTATTTTTTCTTAATAATTTAAATCTTTGGTAGGTTTTATTAAATATTCAAATTTGTGTTAAAATATGCTCTTACATTAAAAAAAAAAAAAAATTAACGTGAATTCAGTGAAAAATTTTAATAGAAAAATTATTAATTAGATCATTTTTGTTTGATTCAAGATGATTTAATTCTTTAAAAAAATCAATTTCAAAAAGTTTTATCATATAAATCAAGCAAAAATTTACAATTCAATTTTTTATTTTAATTTAAAATAATCTAATTATTCCAAAAATGTTTTTGGTTCAAAATTTTGTCTCAATTTATTATTTTTATTAATATAAATTAGCAACCTTGCACTATGTGACTGACGCAACTTGTAAACTATAAATAAATAAAATTTTGCTTTATTAAATAAGGACTGTTAAATTGCACTGTACTTTCTTAAATATTGACATTTTTAAAGATATAAGCTCTTCCCGATGTTACACTCATCAAGAGCTTTTATTTGAGTACCCACATGCATTTTTATGTATTTTTCATATATACATATATATAGTATATATATAAATATATGAAAAATTGATGTGGGTACTCAAATGAAAGGTCTCGATGAGTGTAACATCAGGATGAGCTTATATCTTTTAATAATGTCAATATTTTACAAGATAAAAGATCATTTCTTAATTGTTGATATTTTTGAAGATTTAAGCTCATCCTGATATAACGCTCATCAAGAGCTTTAATTTGAGTACCCACATGCATTTTGATATATTTTTCATATATACATATATACATATATACGCATATACATATTTATATAAATATACGAAATATATCAAAAATCGATGTGGGTACTCAAATGAAAGGTCTCGATGAGTGTAACATCGGGATGAGTTTATATCTTTAAGAATGTCAATAATTCATAATATACAAGGTCGTTTCTTAATTATGTTAAATTGCACTGTACTTTATCATATGACTACCCTTGACAGAGAATTTTCTTATCCTCTTAATAATATAGATTTTAGCTGGACCTAAAAACTTAATTTTTGAATCATTTGTACTGGACAATAACTTAATTAAAAGAAAAATAGAAAAACTATTTTTCGATTTAAATAAACCAAAAATTTCTTGATTCAAATACTTCGAAGGATTAATTGTCTAAAATTATTTTTACTGAATACAAAAGTGTAACTTTGATATTTTTTAATTAAAACAGGAGCATGAAATCAATTTTTAAATAAAGCATAAAATTTTTCTATTCACCAAACTTGCTGGAAAAATAAATAAATGAATATTCAAAGCCGTTTTCTTTTCGATGATTATGATATCGACAGGTAATTTCCACGTGCTTTTGTCCCGGAAAAAGCCCGCTCGAAAGAACAGAACGTTTTGCTGTTCGTGTCATTTGGTTCGCAAACTATCAATACTATTATATTTTATTTTATTATATTGTATTATATAATACTTACACAGTCTCTCCCACAAGTGCACACATTTATATTTTTATGTATCTATAAACACGTAGTAATAATCGTTTGTTCAGTGGAACGTTCGAACAAACAGCGGTAAAAAAACCCAAATCCTCGGCTTCGTTTTATTAAAATGTCTTTCGAGATATCAAAATCCTCTTTATCCTCGACAAGTTGTGTATCGTATTTACATAAAAAGTAAGCGCTTGTTAACCAATAATAACGCGGCAATCATAGAATGCAAATAAAATAAAATGAATAAATAGTTGTATAAACAAATTGGTTTTTGAATAAATTAAATTAAAAACGTATCAACAAGCCTGAGCCAGTTAAATAATTCCATGCACGTGAATTAACCTTACTGATGATTTTAAATATTTTTATTGTTATTTTAAAATTATATTCTATCCAATTTGTGTTGAATATTTTAAAATGTAATTAAATCCTCTATATTTTTGGAAAATAGACCGTATTATACGTATTACAGCCGATTAATGGTAAACATAATATTTGCAGTAGGATTAGTCGGCAAATACGTCAATAAAATCCACAGAGTTTATCTCTATGACAATTAATTATTTAGAGGGTGCTTTACTGTTTAGCTATACGTTTATGCATAAGTAGAGGGTATAGTGATTCACATCGACATATAATATGATATTAATAGTACTATATAGGAGAATTTAATTTTATCCTTGTAGCATAATTAAAATTTGTTCGAGTAAATAGCTGGTTACTGAAATTGAATTATAAAACTATTATTTTCCAGATACTCTATCCGCCGATGAGAAATTTATTTATACCCGTGTTTCTAAACTGCTGGTTGGCTAAACATTCACTCGAAAATATGTTTGTAAGTATAGTATAGTATCATAATAATTTTTATTATTTTATTTTATCAGTGCCGGAGGCACAAAGTAAATTTTAAAGGAAATGTTTGATTGAAAAAATAAAAAAAAAAAAACATTTTGACTAATCAAATATGCAACGAATGTCGGAATGTGTAAATGGCAGAAGCGCAATGTTGCTCAATTGTAAACTCACTCGATGTTTACTCACGCGTTTTAGTCTATCACGCCTGCAATTTGGCAACATTTTAATAGTGATTGATAGCGCTTGAAATAAAATAATTTTTTAAATAATTAATTCTTGTGAAAATATTTTATTTATCAATTAATTTTTAATAATAACAATAATTTATTTTTTGCAGAATGATTTACACAGAGCAATGCAAAGATCTCAATCAGCTTTAAGTCAACAATTGATGATACTCAGCGTGACTTTACTGTGCCTTGTTTTCACCAGGTACATAGTTAAATCAAAATAATTTCAAATAATTTATTGAGTAGATTCAATTTAGCCAAGCAATAAAATTACCTCTCTATTTTGAATTAAAATTAACCTACAATTTTAAATCAATCCCGTGAAATTATTCGCGATCTAAAAACTATAAAATTCTCGCTTTAGTACAAACATGTAATATTTAATGTTTACCGTAAATATTTGAATTAAAAGATAAAAGATGTTATAAAATAATTCTGAGGAAATTAAACAACCCAAAACAAACCAGCAAGTAAACATCGACAGCCTCGGGGGGTTAAGATACCCTCGGGTCACCCAACTGACCTACTATATAATATATACACTTTATATCTGCGTACGTTATACAAACATGAAAATGCGCGGGAAATATCGTCGCATTTATATTTAACGTTTAGTTTGCTTAACTGTACAGCGTATAGTTATTATAAAACATATTGAAAAAAAATCTAAGATTTCTCTCTAGTTTCATAGAAAAATTTTTTATATTTCATACTTACTATTTGCTCATATCGACACAACAAAAATAGTTCGGTAAAAAATTAGAATTTTTTCCGGGATTATTTTTCATATTTATTAAACGCGAAATTCACAGCCGACAAGTTAATTTTCTCACTGGCTACAAAAGCTTGTTGTAAATAAATAAGTCACTAAATTATTCGGTGGTCAATAATCCAAATAGCCGGGAGCTTGTGAAGAATATATAATGAGAAGATACTGCAATAACAATAACTATACTTATAATAATAATAATAAAAATAATAGTATTTTTTACTGTTACTTTGGTACGTGCTGAAGCGGCTTACTAAATCTTTTACAATAAATTTAAGTTAATTAATTAAAGTATGCAGTCTGGAATCCAACGTTACTTACATTTAATACTCACATTTACGTTTTAATATTTATCCATTTTTCCTTTGAATTTCTCAGTGTTAATTAATTTTTTTACCATTATGTAATTATTCAAATATTTTTATAACAATGAATTGAAAAAAGTTATTTTTAAAACTAAAAACTAATAATCGGTAATCAAACTCTGCTGGTTATTAAAAAGAATATCAATTCGATAGCCACAGGCAAACTTTATTTAATTAGCAGAGGCTAAGTATTAATTGCTAATGAATTTCGAGAGAATAACAAATATATATAAAAAAAAAAAAATAATGATAGGAAATGAGAAAAAGTTCGCGTGACAAATCTCAAGTGGCTTTCGTATTATAAAATATTAACCCGCTCGTCATATAATACAATGTGCTCATTTGACATCGATCTTTTTACGTCATGCCGCACCCACTCAAACTCATTTCACGTATTATCTTGTGTTCAGGACCCGAGGAAAATATCTAACATTATACTCTATACTTTATGCCCTATACCGTACACCGCGCAAGCTTTAAGTTTATATGTATAAAATATACACATATAAATTGGACTTTAGCGTAGATTTTACAGAATCACGTCATACACTTTTATAACTTTATCTTTTAATACAGAAATGCAATTAGCAATCTCTTCGAGTAGCTTTACTTTAATGCATTTCAATCTTGATATTGAAGCTAAATATTTTTTACTTTGAAATACATTTTATTTAATATTTTATAAATAGAGTTTCAGGCTTTGATTATAATATACCATTCAAGCAAAAGAGACAACATTTTTTTTTTATAATTTAATTTAAAAAATTTTTACTTGGTTTATAAAAAAATATTATTTACAATCACAGAATTAAATTAATAACCAATAAATTATTAATAAATGCTAGAAAAACAATAAAAAATTGTCTGTTACTAAAAAACATTAATAAACTATCTTATAGGACCGAATAAAAATTTTAAAAGGCACAAATTCCGCTCAAAAATTTTCAAAGGATGCTAAATTTAACTTAAAAAAAAAAAAAACATTTAATCGTAAGGCGTTACTAATGCCAAATGGGTGAATTGCTAATTTTAGGCTCTTTTGGCTCCACAGAACGATTTAAATTTCTTTAATTACCTTAAAAATATAAAAAATTACTGAAATAATGATAAATAAATTTTTTTATAGGGTAAATTAATCGTAATTTAATTATTATATCTTAAAAAAAAATAATTCAAAATTTATTTAAGTTTTTAATATGTGATGTTATTTATTTGAATTATTAATAAAATTACAAATAAACTCACATTTAAATGCAGGTAAGATAAAAACACCAGTAATTGACCGATTAACTATGCGTCCTTAAATTTTACAAAATAAAAATTTATTTAAAAAATTTTTCAAACATTCTAGGATTGATTTTAGATAAATTTAAAAAATAAAGAAGTAATAAATAAAAAAAATATTACTTCCTATTTTTTTTTTTACTCTCAATATAAATACACTGAATAAAAAATTTATCTCATAATAATAATAATAATAATAATAATAATAATAATAATAATTAAAATAAAAATTAAATTATAAAAATTTTTTTTTTAAATTCACTCGGTAATAAATATAATGTATTATAATTACACAAGATACTTTAGTCGTGGTCAAGGTGTGCCGGCATGAAAAGTAACGTTATATGGACATAACTGTCACAGTCAAGTGTAAAGAGGGTGGTGGTAGCGTAGCGATAAAAGGGGGCGAGAGTAAAGAAAAAAAAAAGGTACGATAGAGAGTTACCATTAAATCTAAAGTGCAAACTTGCTACGCCCTTATGTACGGTATACGGTATATGCGATGAGGGAGTTATTTCTCAACAATATATATTATATATAATATACAATACCACCAGTAGATACTTGCCCGCGAGTAGAGGTTCTTTGACGGTCGAAAAAGCCATGTCACGAGCTTCAGATGCCGGTATCTTTACTTGTATCTCGTAACTAACCATATAAATTTATTTTTCATAACTCACTTTTTTTATTATTAAAAATTTCATTTAAAAACTCCGAGATATTTTAAAAATAAACTTTCAAGCCAAAGTGGATGAAGTAAAACAAGAAATAATTCGATAGAATGTAAAAAATAATTTAAACTTTCAATAGATGTTTTTTCCCCAAATAAAAAATTAAATATTGCTCGGTAAAAAGAATGAGACGAATAAAAATGTAAAGAGGGTGGCTAAGTAAACTGTTGAGAAAATGGTGGGTTCGCTCAGGTCGCGACAGCTCAGGAAAGCGGAAGAGGCAAGGGGAGTTGTATTGGAAGCTACAGAGCCGGCGTTTACGCCAGAAAACTTTATTTTAAAATCGTCAAACGTCGTGCACTTGTGCTCCGCTCAATCGCGGATAAAATCGAATCCAAGCGAGAATTGTACATCGTGTTTTATTGCTACAGAAGTAGATCCCATTGAACCACATTACCTCCCTCGCTGTCCAGGAATAACTACCCCAGGGACAATAATAATATCCTACGTTTCTTTCTCTTGCTCTTTCTCTTCTTCTTCTGAGATTATTTGAACTCGCGGGTCGAAAAAAATAAAATAACTTTCACTAGCTATGTGTTACGGTTTTCTTGACATTTTTTATGTCCTTGTAAAGAGTTTACAGCTCACCGTTAAACACTTTTCATGTCCCAATAAATAATCATTTATTATTATCAATACACTTTTTTGCGATACTATTTTTTTTATATGAAACACTGTTTTTATTTGGATCTTTAAAAAATTGTATTCCTCACTAGCAACTTTGCAGTCGTTATGTGACTGTCGTGACTTGTGAACTCTAAATAAGTAAAATTTAGCTTTATTAAATAATGACCTTTTTTAAGTTGCACTGTACTTTCTTAAATATTGACGTTTTTAAAGATATAAGCTCATCCCGATGTTACACTCACCACGAGCTTTCATATGAATACCCACATGCATTTTTATAAATTTTTCATATATATGAATATGTAATATATATAAATATATGAAAAATTTAAATTAATTTGGGTACTTAAATGAAAGGTCTTGATGAGTGTAACATCGGAATGAGCTTATATCTTTAAAAATGTCAATAGTTCACAAGATACAAGGTCATTTCTTAATTATTGTTATTTTTAAAGATAAGAAATGAGCTTGTATCTTGAAAACTATTTACATTTTTAAAGATATAAGCTCATCTCGATGTTACACTCATCGAGACCTTTCATTTAAGTACCCACATGTCATTTTTCATATATTTCATATATATGGTATTTGTGAACTATACAACTATATAAAATATATGAAAAATTGATGTGGGTACTCAAATGAAAGGTCTTGATGAGTGTTACATCAGGATGAGCTTATATCTTTAAAAATGTCAATAGTTCACAAGATGCAAGGTCATTTCTTATTTTCAACAATATCAAATTTAACCATAAAATCCCATTTTATCATATAAATACACTTGCCACAAAATTTTGCTTATTCTCTCAATAATATAGATTACAAAAATTTCAGTTTTTATCTGGTTCAAAAAAATTTGAGATTTTTAAAATCAGTCAAAAATCTTAACACAAAAAAAAATCTCACTTAATAAAAAAAAATTTTTTTCTTATCCAAATTCAGACTTTTGATTTTTTTACATAGAAAAAAAAATTTATGAATAAAATATCAGTTTTAAAAATAAAAAGTAGAGCAGGATTAAAACAGCAAGCATGACGTTAAAATACTCCTGGAAAATCAGTGTCTAAAAATAATCAAAAGGTGAAATATTAAAAGATTTTATTGAATAAAAAATGGACTTTGGTGTATAAATATTATTAAATAAAATAATAAAGAAAAAATGTCTGCAGTCAGACACGGAGGTTGTGTTACAAGGTGTCGGGTATACCTTACCTAGTCTGAAAAGTATTTGTAAATAATTCTGTATGCTGACTAAAGTCGATTTCCGTCGGGTCACACGAGCCAATAATAGACTCCCAGGCATAATAATATACTTAGATATAATGTGCATACAGAGCAGAGCAGATCCAGCGAAATAGTTTGATACGTGTCGGATTTGTGAGAGTCGACAGCCGGTGGTCGTGTGGCCACCGATACCCCTTCGCCTCTATTCTTCATTATCTATCTTCATTCTGTATTCTACATTCTCTATTATACATTTATCCATCTACATGTACAATGTGTCCAATAAGTAAACGGTGATGCGATGTAGGCCACCAATAAATAACTAATCGACTGACTAGTCTGCTCTAGACTTTCAACTCTCTTGCTCTCGAGCTTTTTTTAGTTACCCTCTCGCCAGAATCCAGTTGAACAAAAAACAAGTCTGTACTTACCTATTGATTTATCTTTAATCATTACTTTTTTTATAAATCAAATTCGACTTTTAATATTTCAAAATTTTGTTAAATATCAGCAATACATTTTGTTATTTTTTTTCTGGCTAAAAAATCTTTTGAAATGAGAAATTTTAAATTTCAAAAATAATTTTGTTAGATCAAAAATTTTTCTCTTGAATCAAGTTAATTTTTTTAACAATATAAATCTACCAATATGTCATAAAAGACAATTACACCTTTTTATAATAGTACTATTAAGAAAAAACTAGTAACCTTGCAGTCACTTTGTGACTGCTGTGACTTATAAACTATAAATAAAATTTTGTTTTATTAAATAATGACTTTGGTTAAATTGCACTGTAACTTCTTAAATATTGACATTTATGAAGATATAAGCTCATCCTGATGTTATAATCATCAAGACCTTTCATTTGAGTACCCACATGAATTTTTATATACTTTTCATATTTACATATATATAATACATATAATATACATAAATATATGAAAAATTGATGTGGGTACTCAAATGAAAGGTCTCGATGAGTGTAATGTCGGGGTGAGCATATATTTTTGAAATTATCAATAGTTCACCAAATACAAGGTCATTTTTTGATTATATTATAATTGCACTATAATTTCTTAAATATTGACATTTTTAAAGATATAAGCTCATCCCGATGTTACACTCATCAAGAGTTTTCATTTGAATACCCACATGCATTTTGATATATTTTTCATATATACATATGTATAAATATATGAAATATATGAAAAACTGATGTGGGTACTCAAATGAAAGATCTTGACGAGTGTAACATCGGGACGAGCTTATATCTTTAAAAATGTCAATAGTTTTCGAGATACAAGGTTATTACTTAATTATGTATCTAAAGATAGAGCATTTTCGAATGCAGTCTCTTATCATAAATTGACTATCGGTGAGAATGATATGAAACCTTGAAAAGGGACAAATTAAAATCAAGACCTTTGCAATGACACTAAATTTCACTAAAAAAACCGATTTTATCATATGACTATCCTGGACACAAAATTTTTCTTATTCTCTTAATAATATAGATTAAAAAAAAATTGTTTTGCCTAAAAAATTAACACGCTAAAAATGTGAGAAAAAATCGGGTGAATAGTGACCTTTAATTTATAGAATAAAGGAAATAGTAGATTGAATTTTTTAAGACAGGAATTATTGAATAAATAAAAATGATTGAATATCTATGGGCTCGAGTCGTTAAAGTTAAGAAGTAGGCTGCATGAATAATCGACTTGAGTTGATACGAGTGTGTCTCTCCAACATGGAAATTCAGGTTACAGGTTACAGGTCGGTATATAATACAGTAACAGTAATTTAAGTCCTGAGGAATATAAGTTAGCTATAAAGTAAAAGTCGAGTGGAGACTTAACTATAAGTAGACGTCAACAGAACTTCTTAAGTTCCATTCAAGTGAACTAATATTTGACGATAAATAGTCCCCTAAGTAGCTCCTAGTCTCATTCTTATTGTTACAAAAACTGAAAATTTCAGCTGTAGCAGTGTACACTCAACTCGACAGTTTAATATTTAATGTTTAATGCTATACAATAGATTTAATTTGCCCAACTTATTTGAAGTTAATTTAACTTTTTGAGCGGACTCGTCCTGTTTGTCCCAGTGACCGGTTTTTAAATATTTATCCTTCCGTGATACAAGGTGCCTCCAATCCTGTTAAGCTCAATTATTATTACGGTTGAGTGAAAGGTGGATTAAATCAAATTAAATTAACCTAACTTTAATTTATTTTATTTTATTATTTTAAATGTTTAAGCGTGTGCGGAATCCAGCACTTTCAGCGAGCAGGTCACAGACAACTAAATTTGTTTCAAAGCACGTATTTCGTGGTGGTTACCTTTTCTACTGTAGGATATGGAGACTTCGTGCCAGACATTTGGCCTTCCCAGCTTTATATGGTCTGCATGATATGTGTCGCGCTGTTAGTTCTGCCAACACAGGTGGGTTCAGAAAACATTTTTATTTATTGTTATAATTAAAAAGTTAAAAAAAAAGTTTTATGATTTAAGACAAAATATTTTTATTTTTTGGAAATTTTAAAAATTTTAGTCAGAAAATTGGAATAATAAGTTAAGAAATATTTAAAAAAATTTTTATAATTTTTTAATTACATAATTTATTATCCTTCAAGCTAAAAAAAATGATATTAAACCCTTTTTTTTAATTCATTAAAAAATACAACAATCATTGAGAAAAATTATTTTTTTCAAAAAATTATAATAACTAATTGTGAATTTTAAAAAATTTTTTTTTATTGTTGATTTTTACACAAAAAATCAAATATTAATTTGTGTAGAAAAATTTTATTAATAATTTTTTTTTCAAAATTCTTTAAAAAAATACAATAATCATTAAGAAAAATTATTTTTTTTTCAAAATATTATCAAAATAACTAATTGACATTTTAAAAATTTTATTTTTTATTTTTCTACAACAAATAAATTCTAAAAAAATAAATTAATTTCAATCTTTAGATAAAAAAATTCTTAAAAACAAAAAATAAGAAATTTAAATTATCTTTCTCTGAATTATTTGTCTTTAAAAGTTGAATAAATAAAAAAATCCGAAAATTTATGTGAAAAATTTTATTAACAATTAAAAAAATTAAAAACTAACAATGTTAAAAAAAATTAAAAAATTGTAATTTTTATTTAAAAAAAAAAAGTCACATGATCAATGATTTGATAAAGTTAATTAATCGACAATTTGTAGAACACACATTGAGACTAGACGTATTAGTTGGCAGCAATGAGTATTGTCACCCCCGGCAACGAGAGTACCGACACCGACACCGACAGATTGGACGCAGTGTCGACAGAATTGCACCCACAGCCGGTTTTTACACCAACGTCGGCCATCCGTCAATCCTCTTGCTCGTTCTCCCTTTACTTTCCCGTTCTCATGCATATATATGTTTACATTCATACATTCATACTCGTCCGGGCTTGATCCTCAAAGTTAAGACAAAATAATAAATTATTAACTTGAGCTTTCAAATATTTAAAGCGCCCGACTGATAATTCGCTCTGGCACTCTTTGTGTGCTTTACCCTAATTCTTTTCATGAAATTACTGCTTCTTATTTCTTTTTCACAGATAAAAAATACAATGTAGCTTCAAATAATGCAAGTACAAAAAATAATAAAAAAAAAAAAATTTAACCTTCAACAAAAGCTGAGTAACGCGTCGTAAAAATCAAACTTTTTTCAATAACACAATTTCCTTAATTTTATTATATTTTATTTCATCTTTATCTCTTCTTCCACTACAGAGAATTTTTTTTCATTTTTTAACTATTTGCTTTTATTTTTCTTTTTACGAGTTTCTTTGAGTTACCCTTGTTCTTTTTTTTATCTCATAAAACAACGCGTACAAGAAAGAGACTTGTGAAAAAGATAACCGACAAATTGTATAAGACGAATTATTCTAGTTCACATTTTACTTGATAAAACATAACTTGCTAAGAGAATTTTTTTTTTTCCCATTCGAATAAATTTTTTAAATACCCACTTTTGTTTTTATTTATTTACTCTGAATCCAATTGTTTGTAATTAGTTTTTTATACAAACAAAACAGAGTACTTAAACTTTAAATTGAAAGTAAATTAAAAAAAATTCTGTTTGTCTGAACTGTCTCTTGAAAAACTTTTATTTAGCTGGAAAAAAATTTTATGGGTTTTTAAAACTCAAGTAATTAAAAATTGCTTGTGTACTTTTATGTTTTATCTCATTTAAAACCGAGTCAATTTGTTTTTTCTTAAAAGTATTAGCATTTATTTTATTTAAAATAGCGTTAATAAATGTTGCAATTAACAGCGCATTTATCTTGAGTGACTTTTTAACATTAAGTGAAGATTAATTTTGAAATTCATAGAAATAGAAAAGTCTTTCTATTTTATTATCGTGAAGTAATGGTTTAAATGAAGTTAAGTCTCTGCAAGCTACTTTGAACATGAATAACTACCCTTTCTATTGGTCGATAAATTATTTAATAATAAAGTCAATGAATTACAGCGTTTACTGAAGTACTTTGAAGTAAATTTAATTTATTCGCCTACATACGAAGTACTTAAGAGTTAATTTGTGGTTAATAAAATTTACTTCATGTTTGATATTTTTATTATCAATATATAAGTTTTTTTTCTTATTGTATGGATGAAAAAAATTTTTTAACACAATTTTTTTATTAATTTTTGGAAAAAAAAAATATTTGAATATTTAAAAAAGTTTTAATAATATTTTTATGGATTAAAAATTTGTGAAAAACACTTTTTTTTTTTTTGGAGGTAAAGTATGAAGTACAAAAAATTTATTTCATTTTATGATTAATTATAAAAAAAAATAAAAAATGTACCTATGTTACTGGAAAAAAAATGAAAAATTTTTTTTTTTAATAAAAAATAGTCACCAAAACTTTTTAAACCGAATAGAAGTGAAATCCCAGCGCAAGACATAACTTAAATATTAACAGTGAAATTTTTCCGCGGAATATAAAATATTTCCCGCGAGTAAAATCCGTGTGTTCACTGTTAATTAAAAACGATAAATTTAAATTACCGCTGGGAAACTTTTTCCCGTCAAATATTTGACATTCAATCTGCGTAATTTGCGCATTAGCGCTGAAAATTGAAGCCGGAGATTTTATCAGAAAAGCCTACTAATTATTTTCGAACGGTGTTTATTGTTAATCAAAAAAAAAAATTTTAATGTAAATATTAATGATCTGTTATCTGTTTGCATTGACAGTTCGAGCAACTGGCATTCACGTGGATGGAAAGGCAGAAACTCGGTGGATCATATTCGTCGCATCGAGCGCAAAATGAGAAACACGTTGTAGTGTGCAGCACGACTTTGCAAGCAGACACTATAATGGATTTTTTGAATGAGTTTTACGCTCACCCGCTGCTTCAAGTAGGCTTTGATATTTAATCCTATAATTATACTTGAAAAAAAATAATCAATTATAAATCATTCTGTTGAAAAAAAAAAATACAATTATATCTAATAAGTCATTCAATTGTTAAACTATGCAGGACTATTACGTAGTATTGCTGTCGCCGATGGAGCTGGACACGACAATGCGAATGATTCTCCAAGTACCGATTTGGGCGCAGCGGGTAATTTACATTCAAGGCTCATGTCTGAAGGACGGTGATCTTGTTAGGGCTCGGATGATGGACGCGGAGGCTTGCTTCGTCCTCGCGGCACGTAATTACGCGGACAAAACTGCCGCTGACGAGCACACTATTTTAAGATCCTGGGCCGTTAAGGATTATGCACCAAATGTACCCCAATATGTTCAGATCTTCCGTCCGGAAAATAAACTTCATGTTAAATTTGCCGAGCACGTCGTGTGTGAAGATGAATTCAAGTACGCCTTGCTCGCTAATAATTGCACTTGTCCCGGCGCTTCTACCCTCGTTACTCTTCTGCTCCATACCTCTCGCGGACAGTAAGTATTTTTCTTTTTTTTTATTGATAAATAAACTCCTTTTTATTTTTAATATTTAAATCAAAAAGTTGTGACCATTTTTAAGAATTTTTCTCAAGATAAATCTTAAAAAAAAATTTATTGAAAATTTTCTTAATAATTTTTTTATTGAAAATTTTCTTAATAATTTTCTTAATAATTTTTTTATTGAAAATTTATTTATAAAAAAACCAAAAAATGGTCAAAAAAAAATACTTGATAGAATTTTTTTTAAAATAAATTCAACAAAAAAAAAGTTAATCCCTATTAAGCTACAGATAATTAAAACCGTAGTAATTAAAATTAAAATTAAAAAAAAAAACAGAGAAGGACAGCAGTCACAAGAAGAATGGCACCGTCTGTACGGTAAATGTTCCGGGAATGAAATCTACCACATAACACTGGGCGACTCGCGTTTCTTCGGAGAGTACGAGGGTAAATCATTTACCTACGCGTCGTTTCACAGTCACCGAAAATACGGAGTCGCTCTGGTGGCGGTGAGACCCGCGGAGCTCCCTGAGTTTTACGAGGACACTATTCTCCTGAATCCCGGTAAGCTCTTACTCTTATCGTCTTAATATTACATACTTAGCATAATATAAATTCATTCTTCATTCTTCACTCTTACTCCATTCCCCATTCTCCATAATTTCCATTTTAACCACTAACCACAGCTATGACTACAACTTGAATTCATCATCCATTATTATTATTATCATTACATTCACATGACATCATCTTTTATTCATTATTTACTCAAAACAAGTGTTTGTCTTTTTTAGAGGAGTTTTTTATTTTTGCCTCGTTGAAAAACAAATATAAATAATGTAATCTAATCTGATGATTTGAATAATTTCAAAAATATTAAAAAATTTAATTTATCTACATCAATTTATTTTACAATTGAATAAATATTTTTTAACAGTTTGCAAATCTTTTATGAAGCACAATTTATAAGCTATTAATAAATATTGAGTAAAAAGTTAGTGTAAAAATTTTACTTTGACACTTTTATAACCCAATAACTTTAATAGAAACTCTATTAAGTTAGGTACAGTAATAATTTTTTATAAAAATATTGATAAAATAAAATTAATAATAAAACAATCGTTTTTTATAAGTTACAAAATTTTTTTTTGCAGAATATTATTAGTGCATTGTATCTTTATTATGAAAACTAGCAACCTTGCAGTCACTATGTGACTGCCGTGACTTGTGAAATATAAATAAGTAAAATTTTGCTTTTTTTAATAATGACTTTTGTTAAATTGCACTATACTTTTTTAACTATTGACGTTTTTAAAGATATAAGCTCATTCCGATGTTACACTCATTAAGAGCTTTCATTTTAGTACCCACATGCATTTTGATAAATTTTTCATATATTCATATATATAAATATATGGAATATATGAAAAATTGATGTGGGTACTCAAACGAAAGGTCTCCATGAGTATAACATCAGGATGAGCTTATTTCTTTAAAAATATCAATAGTTCACAAGATACAAGGTCATTTCTTAATTATTGACATTTTTTAAGATATAAGCTCATCCTGATGTAACGCTTATGAAGAGCTTTCATTTGAGTACCCACATGCATTTTTGATATATTTTTCATATATACATATATATATAATATATATAAATATATGACTAATTGATGTGGGTACTCATATGAAAGGTTTTGATGAGTGTAACATCGGGATGAGCTTATATCTTTAAAAATGTCACTAGTTCACGAGATACAAGGTCATTTCTTAATTATGTATCTACAGATAGAGAATTTTTGAATGCAGCCTAAAGGCTTCTCGTTATAAATTGACTAATGGTGAGAATGATATGAAACCATGAAAAGGCACATAGAAACCCATTTTATCATATAAATACACTGGCCACAAAATTTTGCTTGTTCTCTTCATTTATTTTTTAGTTTTGTTGGAAAAATAAATTAATGCTAAAAAAATATTTAAAAAATTGCACTCATGTCTTTTTTTATTAGACGTCTGTAATTTTAATATAATAAAAATTCACTGATAAATTACTAAAATTCGTGATAAATTGAACATTATGTCTTAAAGACATGACTGTAGTAATTGTATTTTTATAAATTTGATTTTTTTTTATCACTTTTCAATAAATGTTAAAATTAAGTTATCTAAAACAGAATTTATTTGAAAAGTAATTAAAAAAATAAAAATTTGAAAATAATACTTTAATCCTTAATTTACTTACTTTTAAGTATTTTTTATTATCGTTTTAAAATTCAAAGTTTTCATCAATTAACATTACTTATATAATAATATAATTTACGTAATTTGAAAAAATACCTGAGTTTTTAACGTAATAATTTTTTTAATTGATTTTTGCCTTTAAGGTAATTTTTTTAATATTTTTTTTTTAATTTAGATTAAATATATAAAAAAAATTCCTTCAAATAAAAAAAAAAAGTTTGACATTATGAGGGTGTACTTAAATTGACTAAAATTAGTCTAAAGGAAATTCTTCATTAATTAATTTTCAATCTAGAAAAATATATAAAAAAAAACTGAAGAATTTATTTTTAAAAAATGACTATAATAAAATTTCTGATATTGATTAAGAGAATTCAAACTTTAAAAAGACATGTGCTAGTTATTGCCGAACATTCGTATCTATTTGTTTATATAATTACAGTACATTTAATTAGCTAAATTAAATATTGACATGAATACAAAGCTCCGTTTGTAAAATATTAATAACTAGTAAAATAATTTTATTAAGAGGATCACTTGATAATTGACCTAAATATTTAACTGATGTGAAAATAATAAGTAGAGGAAGAAGTATTATAACTGATGGTAAACATACACAGTGTATATTCGTGATTGGAATCTATGCTAGTATAACATGCATAGAACAATGAGAGCACAATGTCAGTAGAACATGAACATGAGAATGGCTATTAATGCTCCTGCAAGTATAGACTAGGACAGAGTTACACCGGTTGCAATATCACGATCAAGTGCTAAAGGTAAAGCAATTAATTTCACCTGTCTCAATGTTAAATGCCTCTTATTATTTATTTTTCATTCTTTAACTTTACTTCTTTAATAAACTGGAATAACAACCTCATTTTTAGAGTTTGTCAGAAGTCAATCATGCTTTTTTTTATTTTTCATTGTTTTACTCTGCATGCAGTGCAATTACACATTAGTATTTGACCTATTACACGATAGCTGTTTATGATTATTTCATAATTAAAAAAAATTATTAATTTATAACTTTTTAAATATTTAAATCTTAAAAATTATCCATAAAAAATTTTTCAACAAATTCGAAGTCCTAAAATAAAAAAAAAAATTTTATTGAATAGTTAAAATATTTATAAAAAATTGATTTTTAAAAATATAAAAAAGTATTTTAAAAATTTTTTAATTAAGAAAATTAATCTTCTGGTCCACCGCACAAAAAAATTATTTATTTAACTGGCAACCTTGCGGTCACTATGTGACTGCCGAGACTTGTGAACTATGAATAAATAAAATTTTGCTTCATTAAATAATGACTTTTATTAAATTGCACTGTACTTTTTAAATTATTGACATTTTTAAAGATATAAGCTCATCCCGATGTTACACTCATCAAGAGCTTTCATTTGAGTACCCACATGCATTTTGATATATTTTTCATATATACATATATATAACATATATAAATATATGAAAAATTGATGTGGGTACTCAAATGAAAGCTCTTGTACAACAACAACTGGAGCTACAGCGACTGCCACAACTGGAATCGCAGCTGCAACTGGCGCAGGAACTGAAGGAACTACCGGAGGAACTTTGAGCACCGGAAGCACTCCGGGAGTTGGGACCACAATGACGTCGATTTTTACCCCGACGACGACCCTGTCTGCGAGCGTCGCGGCTTCTGGAGGGAACGGTACAATAGGCATCGGTGTCACTCAACACCTGAGATATTCGAATGGTTTTAAAGTACCGTGCGATGCGACACGTGCTGTTGTTACCAATGAGAGTGGCGAGTCGGTGTCTCCGGGCAAACCGCGTACTCACGTACCCCCGCCCGGGGCACCGCCGCCACCTCAAGTTATCTTGCAGGTTCCTAGCACGCCCACACCTCGACATCACAACCTACTCGCATCCGATTTTCACCGTGAGTGTCGCATGCGCCTGAGCTTTTTTTTGTTGCTGTTTTTTTTTTAATTTTTTTTTCAAGTAAAAGCATCTTATTCTTATCATTATATTTTTTTTGTTATTATAAACATCAAATTTATATTAACAAAATTTTAAACATACAATTTTGTGTAATTATTGCTAAAGAAGAAATTTATTTTATTTTTATTCATAAAAAAATTACCATAAAATTAACTTAATTTAAGAGAAAAATTATTAAAATAAAAATATCATTTTTTTTTAGTACAATAATTTTTTTCTTAAATCAAATTAATTTTTTTATCAGTGTATAGAGAAAATCCCTTATTAAAAAGTTGATGTAACGTTTTCATTGTTGTCGCTTTCCGTTGCTATGGTGACCACTTTGGCAACGATTACCATGGCAATGGTTAAATATTAATGAGTAAAATTTATAAAGACATTAATTAAATTGTCGATAAGAAAAATTTTGACAGAAGCGCGTTTGATTTTCTAGTAATTTTAAATTATTAGATGTCTGACTACAGATGCTTTTATACTACTTATTATAATTTATTTTTTTTGTTATTTTGTCATCGACGAAATTCAAATGATACTGAATATAACAGACCTTTAAATTGTGAATTAATTGATCGAATTTGTTTATTAAAATATCAAACAAGGTATCCATGATTAATTAAGAAGCCTGATTAAGAAATGTCGAGGGTTTTCTAATACAGCCTATCATCTGAAAAATAAAAATTTTTGTATGATATTTCGTTCAGCAAATATTGTAATTTTTTCCCAATCGTAATATAAAATTCTTTATCATTTGAAATGAATATTTAATTTTATTAAATTGAAGCTCAATTTTTATGACTTTTTAAAATGATCTTTAATTTAATTTTATTTTTTAACTGGTCCAAATTACCCACGGCTTGAATGTTATATTCAGTATTATTAAAATAAAAGTACACTAATTATTGTATAAAATTTTGACAATTAATTTTGAAAAATGCACTATCATTAAAAAAATTTAATTAAAAATGTAATTATTCAATAAAAAAAAAAAAAATAATAGTGAACTTTTATGTGAACTTCGGTAATTACTATGATTTTATTTTTTTATGGTTTAATTAAAAGAAATTTGAAAAAGAGTAAATTTTGTTATAATTTTTAATTAAAATATACGAAATGATATTTTTTAAATGTTATTTTGCTTATGGCATTGTCGCAATATCGCGCTTGTCACCAGGTTTATTACTGAATGCATAAAAAAGTTTATTCCACTGTGAGAGATACTAAATTAAAAAATAACGTTCTATTCGTATGTACCATAGAAAAAGCTTGTTTAGTTTAAATGTCATTTTATTGATTGATCTATGTTTAAATATCTAACAAAAATAAAGAACAAAATTATTTTTTTTAATTTAAATTTTAAAACCACCTGATAAAATACCACTGACTAATTTAAAACGTGCATGCAGCTTTATAGATAACAACAACAACAACAAACAAAACAGACAAATTTCCATGCTTCAATTCAATTTTTATACGCTTGTTTATCGCAACTGCTAAAATTTTATTTACACTGCTTTTTATGTTTTAATTTTTGTTAATATAATATTCGTATAGCCAATAAAAAATCTTTATAATAAATAAAATAAATTAATAGTTTTCTAAAAATAGTGACTAAATTTCCCGCTAAAATAAAATTTAAATCTAAATTAAAAATAAGTTTTAAAATTAAATAATTGTCTTTAATATTATTGTCAGCATTAATAATATTAATGACAATTATTCGCTTGATAAAATTTAATATCAGTATTAATAATTGTAGCTACATATTTGGATCCGTCAAATCTATCGGATTCGAGGCAATGTTTGCGTGAAGCCGGATCAACTCCGCAAACTCCGATCACTGGAAATCATCTCGACGTACCAAGAGCCATGGATCCTAATCCGCATCTATTAAGTCCTGAAATTTTGATGCAAAGACGAGGTTAATTTAAGATTAATATTTATAATTTAAAAAGCTATTTTTAGTTTAAAAGCTGAAAAATAATGAGGAAGAAATATTTAAAATCAAAAATGTTTTGCTATAAATAATTCAGGAAGCCGTCGGCCGAGTATTTTGCCAGTACCAGATATGCTGACTGGCTCAACACTTCACCTTCCGGGTCAAGAATCACTCGACCACGAGGCCGACGAATCCGAAGATGAGATGGACGACGACGTACCATGGAGATCGCCCAGTGAAAAAATCGCGTAAGAATTTTCCTTTTTAAATATTATTCATTTTTCAAATTCAAATTCATTTTTATATAAATTTATTATTATGATAAAACAATTAAATCTTTTTTATTGTCATATGCATTATAAATAGCGTATAAGTTTCTTGTATTTATTTTTTTAATATATACATTAGAGGCGCAAAAAATCAAATATTTTTTTTCGAGTCTCCTGTAAAATTTTATTATTGTTTTTTTAAAGTCCATTCCAAAAATTAGTTAGATAAAAAATTTTTTTGAGAGTCGCTAAAAATTAAAAATAACTTTTTTTTCTTCTCTTTTAATCTTTTTTAATTTGAAAAAGTCAATTTTTAAGTCGTTCAAAATTTTTTTAACAGTTCAAAAATAAAAAAAAAAAAATCACTTAATTCAAGAGAAAAATTATTTTCAAACTAAAAAAATTTTTAAATTTATATTTTAAAAATAAAAAAAATTTTTTATCAAACTAATTTTGAAAATAACTATTATAAAATATTTTTATAAGAAACTTGAAACCATAAATAATTGATTTTTAAGCGTCAATCTATTTTATTATACATATTACTCAAAAATATATATAGTACTAGTATGCAAGCGCTAAATTTTATAAAATGCACTCTAGAAAAAAATTAAAACTCTTCACCATTTTATTTAAATATTAACTGTGGTAATTAATTTTTTTGTAAAAATAATTTATAATTTTTTTTTCGACTATCGTATTTTTAAATATAAAACAAAAATAATGAATAAATATCGATAATCGAGCAAATGCTTGTATTGCTGCGATGTAAATCGATATTACAATGTACTAACGTGGTATCATTGCACTGGCATACGATGGTTTCCTGCCTGTCACCCTAAACCCTCACTGTGGATGTACGTGTTTGATGTCTTCCCCTAAACAATTTTGTGCACACTTCGCATTGCTGCACTTCACGCCTCGACTCAATCCCGGTCGACAGCTTCAAGGGGTGAGTTTATGCACTGAAGTGCCTAAAAGTTGATATTAACAGCATTTAACTGATTATGACGGCTTGATCGTCCGGAATTCCCAATTTTTATGTAAAAATAAAATTAATTAATTAATTTTTCATTAAAATTAAAAAAAAAATTCAAAATATGACGACGCTGACGGATTGGTCGACCAAAATTCCTTCTCGCTGCATGCTTGCTTTATTTTTATTATTAAATATTAATCCAGTGTAATTAAATGATTGTAAATAAATTCAATTAGTTTCAATTTTATATAAAAAGTATTGATTTAAAAAATTGTACATTGCAGAATCGTGAAAGGTTTTCCACCTGTGTCGCCGTTTATTGGAGTGTCGCCGACATTGTGTTATTTGTTAAAAGAAAAAAAACCACTTTGCTGTCTTCAATTAGCTCAAGTAAGTTAAAAAAAAAAAAAAAAAAAAAATTAACTGTAAATTTTAGAGAGGTTGTTAATTTATAAAAAAAAAAAGAAAAAAAACATAAATTGAACAATTTTGATCTTGATAAATAGAATTATAAAAAGCAAAATAATAATAATTATATACTGGACATAAAAAAAAAATTGTTTTATTTGTCGGTAGGTTTGCGAACATTGTTCGTATAGAAATGCAAGAGAATACAATTGGCAGAATAAAACTATAATTTTAGCGGCAGATTACGCCAGCAATGGGATATATAATTTTATCATTCCTCTAAGAGCTCATTTTAGGTAAGTGATACTAAAGAAATTTTAAGAGAGAATTTAAGAAAAAAAATATTTTGAGTACAAAAATAAAAAAATTTCAAATTGAAAATTTTTTTAAATAATGAAAAATACTCTTGAAATATATTTTTGAAGATTTTTAAAAATCTAAAAAAAAAGAATTTTTATTACCAAATTTTTTGGCTACCAAAAAAATAATTTTATCGATGCATACTCTTTAAAAATAAAATTAGTATAATTTACATTATAAAAGAAACCCTTTAGATTTTAGTTAAAATTTTTGTCCGTCTATTAATCTGCATACTTTACGACAGAGCACTCTAAAGCGCAAAGAACTTTTATGTCCGGAATAAAAGCATCAAAATGTCGCGCTGTATATTTTTATTGATAATTAAATAAAATATAAAAAAATTTAATTATTTTGTTATTCTGAAAGTTAAAGGCCATTGAAATTCAAATAAAAAATTTTATTAATCCATTTATGAATAAAAGCTCTATCATAAAGTTGAACTGCTGCGATCGCGACGTTAAAATTGTTGCCTTCCATTAGCTTTAAATTTTTTAAGTGGGGTCCCGGCGAAATCAACTGACTTTTTGGTGGATGAAAAAGGATAGAGCGCTGAATATTTTAATATATATTGACTTACACAGGTATAACATGTCAATATCTATATCTATATTTGTACTTGTTTGTGTGTAACATCAGATCGAAAACATCATTGAACCCGATCATCCTGTTACTGGAAAGGAGACCGGAAATTGCTTTTCTTGACGCCATCTCCTATTTTCCTCTTGTCTACTGGATGCTCGGTTCGATCGATTGTTTAGACGACTTGCTGCGTGCTGGTATCACACTTGCCGAAAATGTTGTTGTTGTCAACAAGGAGCTTAGCAATTCTGCGGAAGAAGATACGCTTGCTGATTGTAATACTATCGTCGCTGTGCAAACAATGTTCAAGTAAGTTATATTTTTCTAAAGTATCAAAATATTGCTTTAATAATAACAATAATAAGCCACGTCTTGCAGCCAAAAATTACAGAATTAGAATAATTTTATAAATAAGAAAATTTTTAGTTGAAGATTTTCCGAACAAAATATTAAGAGCTTAAGTAATTTTAGAATTGAATTTTATTATAATTTTGCGGTACAGGATCAATTATTTATAAATTTACAGAAAATATCGGATAGAAAAAATTTATAAAACCAACAAATTATTTAAAATTGCTCTAAAAACTCATAAAAAATTAATTATCAAAAAAAAATTTTGCTTATTCTCTATAATATTTGAGAAAAAAAATTTATTTGATGAAAAAATTACTAAATATAATTTTTAAAACCTATTTTCTCATATAAATAAATTTTATGCAGAATTTTTTTCATTCTCTTGATTCAATAAATTAATAAGAATAATTATTATTCTCGAAATCGGTAACTTAAAAAATTGAAGTTATTACTAAAAGCACAAAAAAATCCGAAAAAATATTGACGGCTAAGCCGGGAGTCAAATCCGGAAAGGCTTTAATATTAAACTAGCAACCTTGCAGTCACTATACTGCCGTGACGTATGAACTATAAATAAATAAAATTTTGCTTTATTAAATAATGACTTGTTAAATTGAACTGTACTTTCTTAACTATTGACGTTTTTAAAGATATATGCTCATCACGATGTTACACTCATCAAGAGCTTTCATTTGAGTACCCAAATGCATTTTGATAGATTTTTCATATATACATATATATAATATATATAAAATTTATAAAAAATTGATGTGGGTACTCAAATAAAAGGTCTCGATGAGTGTAATGTCAGGATGAGCTTATATCTTTAAAAATGTCAATAGTTCACGAGATACAAGGTAATTTCTCAATTATGTTAAATTGCACTGTACTTACTTAAATGTTGACATTTTTAAAGATATAAGCTCATCCCGATGTTACACTCATCAAGAGCTTTCATTTGAGTACCCACATGCATTTTGATATATTTTTCATATATACATATATATAATATATATAAAATATATGAAAAATTGATGTGGGTACTCAAATGAAAGGTCTTGATAAGTGTAACATCGGGATGAACTTATATCTTAAAAAATGTCAATATTTCACGAGATACAAGGTAATTTCTTAATTCTCAAGGTATTCTCTTAATAATACTAAATAATCCCACTAATAAAAAAAAAAGATAATAATCAAAAATTTTGAATTCGAAACAGATTTTTCCCGAGCATAAAAAGCATCACAGAGCTGTCTCAGTCAAGTAATATGAGATTCATGCAATTTCGAGCGCATGACAAGTATGCACTTCACCTCAGCAAAATGGAAAAGGTACTCCTCAGTGCTACTTCCGGTGACAACTACCCCGCTGAGCCTCCGATGGGCTCCCCGGTAACACGATAACACTCACTCTGACCTCTAACTGATTAATGAATGGTGTGATTTACGATTGCGATATTATATTATTTATGATTTATAATTTATCATTAATGATTGACTGATCTGACTGAATGATACTGCTATAGATTTGTCGGTTTACTGTCTGGAAGTTTGCCGATTTCATTGGTCATTATCCGACCATCATCACTGCTAATCATCCGAATAAACTCATTAACTCTCCCTATTATTTTTCGTTTTACAACAAAGCAGTCTTGATTGCCTGGTAATCGACTGATGTAAGCACTTTGCATCATTAGATTCCATCGTCACTCTGTGCTTGAACCCCTGACGTCTGCTACAAAGAGCTCTACTGTATACTATACTCCTGCACTGATACCACTACCACTATTGACCCTTTACTGCTAGCTACTCCTACTAATATCGATACTACTGCATTGTCAGTCACTGTATTGTAGTGACATTTAATTAAATTGCTCTCTAATGTGCAAGATCATAGTGTTAAAGCTCTTGTTTTATGACCTCAGAGGGTTTATATCCCTTAGCGTTTGATCATAGATTATTAATTTGATACTAAGCATGGATTACTGGTTTTTTATCTTTTTTTTTTTTTATTGTATAGTCTATTATTATTAATTATAGAGGAACTGTAGTAGTATATAGCTGATTGCACTGATTATTGATTATTACTATTATTTAAATAAGCTCAAAAAAAATTACTTGGTTAAAAAGAAATGTATTCAAAATTTCACTTGCTTTTAAATATTAAATTCAAGAAATTAAATATTTAATTTAAAAAATTAAATTCTTATTTTATAAATTGAGTAAATCATTTTATTATTTTCTTAAAAAAATTAACTCAGGAATTTTTTAAATGTAAAAATTTGGAAAAATTATTAATATAATTTTAGTAATTTTACAAAATTTTTTATCTTCAAAAAATTTAATTTTGACAAAATATTTTTTAGATTTTTAAATTAATTAATTAAAACAAAAAAAATCTATTTAAAATATTTTTTTTTAAATCAGTAATATTTTTCTGAAATCAAATAATTTTTTTTTAACTCTGAGCTAGATTCAAAAATTGAAAAAATTTTGTATTTCTTTAATATTGAAAGAAATTAATAAAATAAATAATTTTTAATTTCATCAATAATCAATGCAATAAAATAAAATATCTTATAACTATAAATTAAAAAAGATCTCAGTCATATAAAATAAATAAGTAGAAAAATATGATAAGAGATCTGTAGAATACTTAATAAATATCGACAACAAGACGATTTATGTGAACCATCAGAGAGAAAAGGAGCGCGGATCCCACATATCATACATGTTCCGTCTGCCATTCGCCGCGGGAAGTGTCTTCAGTGCATCAATGCTGGACACTCTATTGTACCAGGCTTTTGTTAAAGACTACGTGATAACATTTGTAAGACTCCTGCTTGGCGTTGATCAAGCACCTGGTTCTGGATTCTTGACCTCGGTATTTTACATTCAATATCAAAAATTCCAATCTATCAATCGTTAATAAAAATTACTTTTCACTCTTTCAACATTTCTTGATTTTCAGATGCAAATAACCAAAGAAGACATGTGGATAAGAACCTACGGAAGACTTTACCAGAAACTCTGCTCGACGACCTACGAAATTCCTATCGGGATCTACAGGACCCAGGACACCAGTCTCGCGGACACCTCCAATGTAAGTCTAAGTTGATATGGTCGATCAGATCATAAAATTAAAATTAGTGCAAAAAACACTGGTCGTTCCTGAACATACTATAAATTTATTATTTTCTGTGTGTTAGCAATAATTACCGATACTTATAATTTTATATTTTATAAATTACAAATGACAATTGCTACATGGTTACCGAGAACGTTAAAAATAATTTTGAGTGATGGCTGTGAGTAGCGCATGATTGTGCTCTACCGCGCTCGTGAGCTCCTGTTATCTATTTCTATTAATCTGTCATCGTATAGTCTATAGTCTATAGTTGTTTTTAGCTCGTTCATGTTTTTATTTTGCTTTATAGATACTTACAGATCGTTTTTAGATGTCTAGATTATTTTTAAAAGTAATAATAATGACTAGCAACCTTGCAGTCACTATGTGACTGCCGTAACTTCTGAATTATAAATAAATAAAATTTTGCTTTATTAAATAATGAATTTTGTTAAATTGCATAGTACTTTCTTAAAAATTGATATTTTTAAAGATATAAGCTCATCCCGATTTTACACTCATCAAGAGCTTTCATTTGAGTACCCACATGCATTTTTATATATTTTTCATATATACATATATGTAATATATATAAATATATGAAAAATTGATGTGGGTGTTCAAATGAAAGATCTCGATGAGTGTTACATCGGGATGAGCTTATAACTTAAAAAATGTCAATATTTCACAAGATGAAAGGTAACTTCTTAATTATTGATATTTTTAAAGATGTAAGCTCATACTGATGTAACGCT